GGAACGAAAATGGTAATGGCAGTTGCGCAATTCTGTTCCGAACGCGCGCGCTTGTACGAATTACGTGTGTGCGGCTGCAGCAATAACGTTTGTCATTTTCGGTGCGAATTTTTCGCAAAGTTTCGTCGACGCGCGCGCGACGTAACAGCAGGACACGACGTCTCTCGCGCATTTTCCCCTGCCCCTGTCTCCACCCGGCCCCGGCCCGGATGATATACAAGAGAATTTTCTAACTGGAGTAAACTCGATACAGTGTTATCGCATCGATTGGGCCCGATCAATAAAAGTTGCAATATCTGAGACGCGCTCAATCTCTGACGCTCGCACAATACGCGTTAAATTATTTAACATGTGATGTTTTTTTTCTTTGCGATTCAATCTGTACTGAAAAAAAAAAAAAACAATCATATAAGTCAGTTATTTTCTGTCGGTGTATTTTTTCTCATTCGCGTGTGAACCCGAAATCCTTGCTCGCAAAAAGTTTACCCGCGCGCGAAATCGATTCTGTAAAACTCGCAGAAGCGCGCTTCCATATTTGCTTCGCGATTCTGACCGGCGAGGAGGTTTAAATTCGGTGAATTTACCATCGTCAGGCACGTCACGTTATTTCACATTCCTTGTCGATTTTTATGACGGTGCTGCGCGTTGTAAAAATCAATAAGAGGGATTTCGCATGTGCAACGAGGAAGCGTAGGAGAGCCAATAGGTTCCTTGCAACGACGACGACGACGACGACGACGACGACGATGACGACGACCCGTAACGTGGAACGAGATCCACGCAGTCGCCGTTCTGTCTATTACTATTTCGTTATATTATTGCCGATAAAATGTCCGCGGGAAAAACAAGGTATATACACCGAGAGCGCGGTTCATCGTGCGCACGGTGCAACGAGCGTTTATTTACGCCGAAGTAAATTTTGCGCGACGCGCCGCGCGGCGCGGATGACACACGTTCGTTCGAGATCTTTAATTGAGGACCCGTCGTCGTGTGCCGGTCCGAAAAAAAAAAAAAAACATTTCGAGCCATTAATATCCGCGAGTCTGCGGATCGTAAGGAAATGCGTAAATTTATATCCCGCGAGCCGTTATGCAAATTACTCTCAGCGCGAGCGTAAACCTCGCTAAACTAGGGTCAAATCCGAGTGGCCGCATTCACGTATTACACACACACACACACGCACACATATATACACGCGTAAAAATCGTACCCCGGCGTTTGCAAATAAATAACGAACCGGCCAACGTCCCGTAAATGTCAATCTCCGTAAAAAATGCTGCTTGTCGGTCGGCCAACGACAGCCAACATTTCGGCAAGACCGTCGCAAGACGGTCTTATATCCCGGCGATTGGCGCGTCGAGTATTTACAGTCGATTCGGAAATACCCCCGGGTATATAAAAGGGTCCGCACCGTCGCGACAATAGCCGCGATAATACAACCTGTCTCTCGCGGTACGTACGCGCGCGAGGATTTGCCGTGTCGAGAGTTGCGCCGTTGTTCAACGACGACGGTCGCAGATAAGCGGCGAGCCGTATGCGAAGGCACGGACTCGGTGACACTTGAAACTTCAGGGTGACTGAGTCAAGGCTCTCCCTCTTGCGCCGCCGCCGGCGGCGGCCTTTCGAAATCCCGCGGGCGGTGTGATGGAAATAAGACGTCTCGTAATTCATAGTGTATATTTGGAAACCGAAGAGAATTGAAAAACACAAAAACTAAGTGTGTTAATTGCCTAAACGAATTGATCGCAAGAGAGAGAGAGAGAGATTGTCTTCGATTATATTTTCCGCGAACTCTCTCTTTCGATAATTCTTTAAATATAAAATAGTTTTTTAATTATATATTTCCAGAGATAAGAAAGTGTATTTATAACACAAACACAAATTTAGAACGAGATTATATCGCGCTTTTATAGCGCGATCAAAGTTCATGACCCGCATTGCCTTAGTTTACGACGAAGTAGCGGCGGCTAGAAGTGGGGCAACGATAAAAAAAAAAAAAAAATTTATATATATGCATATAGACGTAGAAAACACCAGAGGGGGAGTGGGAGGAACGGGAATACATGAGCAGGTAAGCGTACCGAATTGCGATTGGAAAGGCGCCAGTTTTTCCCCCGTGGGATACGTGGATTTGAAATTCAACGCGATGAAAGGCGGCTCACCTCCTCATCCTCCTCCCCGACCGCGTCCAACTCGCTAAACTAGTTCGACCCTGTAATATACGCGAGGGCCAAGGTATATATCCCAGTTCGCTAACCCAGAGAACCCGTGAGCACTGGCATCCTTTCAAGTCTCGCAGGTTCGGCATCCTTTTAATTTAGATCGATCCTCCGAATCGGCGTAGGCATTGCACAATTTCTTTCTAATTTTATTAACACACCAACGCGAGACTATTGCGCTCCAATCCTATAAGAGAGATCGTATCCCTACAATACGCGCGTGAGTCAGCGTCGGGGAGGGGGAGTAAAAGTCTCTTCGCGGAAAAAGATGGTTGCATCATATCCGAGTTTCCGACGCGATCGCGACGATAACCCCGATCGATCCGGCGCCATTTTCTCGGCAAGACGCACGACCGAAGGAAATCGCAGACAGCTCGGTGAGACACGGATGTTGTTTGTTTCCACGTTCGGCCGCGCGGTCGGAACAAACGGAAGCAGATTGATGGGCAATGGAGCGATGACGCGTTAATCGCGAATTCCTTTGGAAATCGTCCCCTCGCAATGTCGAGTCTGCCGCTTTGTATACGGCCGCAGTAGGGGAACGCACGGTCAGATGAAGGAAGGGGGGCAAGCGAGAGAACGTCGTTGACTCGGAAATATCGCGGAGAGGGATTTCGCTTTTGACGAGACTTCGCGAGGCGTAAGGGCCATCACGACGGTTCTCGCAAGGGGTTCTCGTCGAGGTCCTTCCGGCGGTCCTCGACGAAGATTCATCGCGAATGCACAACCGAAAATAAAACGAGCGACCTTATGCGTTACACGTCACTTGAATTCGGAAACGCAAAGTAATAATTTACTCAACCGCGAATTAATTGCACACAGTTGATATGTTCGAGATATCCTGCGTGTTTTTTCTAGCACAAGGTGAGATTTTTCTCTCAACAAAAATATACCCCCAACTAATAAAAGTAAAAAGACCTTACAGCCTGTACGATCCACGGAAGGAAGTGGTTATGCAATAATTATATATTAATATATAATTATTGCATAACCACTTCCTTCCGTGGATCATACAGGCTGTAAGGTCTTTTTACTGGATATTTCATAATTTTTCTGGACCTGTCAATTTTTTCTTATAAAAATAAAAACACTGCGTAGATAATAGCGTAAATGTGTGCTCTCTGTTGTGTGTTATCTAAAAATGTTTTGTGTGAAAAGCGCACAAAACATTTTTAAATAAATAGAAAACTAAACATTTACACGGAGTCCGAGTAAAAAGATAAAGAGCGTAAATGTGTGCTCTCTTATGACGTGTGTTAGCCAGAGGAAAATTGTGTTTTGTGACACACACAAAACATCACCTTAGATAAACGGAAAACTAAACATTTACACAGAGTCCGAGTAAAAATATCCTTGATATTTTTCAAGGTTTGACAATACATCGCCGCAAGCTCGAGCAAGCTATATAAAAGCAACAATAAAGACAGACGATATTCCGAAAACGTATTGCGGAATTCAAGAGACTTCCTTTTCACATTCCGGAGTCACTGTATATTGGTAATATCACGTTACGACATACACACACACACACACACACACACGCACACACAACACGGAAGCAAGTGAAAAGTAGAAATACCAGGAGATAAATATATGCACGAGACGTGTTACGTGTCACTTGTGCAGCCTCCTTTTGGTATTTCCGCTCTTCAAATCGATGCGCGGCGACCTACCTCAGTACTCGCTCTTGTTTCCCGCATTTCCGTCGCCCGAACACAATATGCTCAATTGCGTTAATGCATTCGCACAATCTCTCCCGGGTGGCAGTTCCCGGGGGAAGAGGGGAGGGAGTTAAATACCGGGTCAAGCAAATATCTTCGGTATAAATAAGCCGTGCACTTTGCGCGAGAATCGTTAAGCAGCAGCTTTTGGGTAGGTAGTTGCGCGAAAAGCAAAGTGATTGCCAAAATTCTGGAAGGAAGATACGCGCGAGATAGAGAGAGAGAGAAAAAGGAATAGGAATATCCTATCTCTTTAATCCAGCCTTGGATCAAGAGGTCGTGTCGTCTATCCTCTGGCCATAAGCGAATTTTCTCACCCTTCTTCCTTCGGCAAAAGTATCTCGAAATGGAGCGAGGAGAGAGATGATTGCGATTAGAATGGATTTTCGTCGTCGCAATTTCAAGAACGCGCTCTCTCTCGCGAAGCACAAACCGGAACCAAAAGACCGGAGACGATAAATCTATTTGAGCGCGCGACATTGGTTCCCGCATCGGGTTTTCTCTCTCTCGCGAAAAACGCGAAAATGCGAGACGATTGCGGGGGCGGTCCGGGAGACGCGCGTCTGCTTATATCGACACTATCCCGCTCGCCTTAACGCACTTTTATTCGGAAATTCTAAAGGTCAGCTGGAACGAATTCGCATTCGCAGAAGTCACCGCGATAAATTCAACGCGATATTATACCGCGCGCGCGAGAGAAATCGACAAATTTCCGCGTTATTTCTCTCTCTCTCTCTCTCTCCCTGACCGTGAAAGAATTCTCTGTGCTGTCATCTCTTCGAGTATCATTTTTTGACCTTTTTTTTTTATTTTTGAGAAAATTATCAAAAACTGCAACTTCGAATTGAGATCTCGCGCGTTTACGTAAGTTTCTCCCCCGTATCGAGAGTTTCGAAACGCGCGAGCGACTCGCGACTTAAGATTCTTATCTCGCGATCGGGATCTTCTCCGCGCGCTGTTCGCGATCTTCCTTCGCGAAGAAAAGAAAAAAAAAAAAAAGAGCGCACTGCGTGCGAAGGCAGCAAAGACAGGCAGCGGCGCAGGCGGCTCGTACACTGACCTTATAACGAACATGTGTGTCCCGTGGTCCCTGGATGGATAGTCATTGGGTCTCACACGGGGTGGCTCGTAGTGCTCAGACGACGAAGCTTCGATAATGAATCCACGCACGCACGCAACGTCGATCCCGCACGATCTGGACGCGGTTGCCTCGCGACGGACACGCGTGCGTGCGCCGCGCCGTCGTACGATCCTCGTGACGTTCGGTATCGCGATCCTCACCAGAAACTGATTCACGATAATAAAAAGCCGGTACCGCACGATTTTCAGTTTTTTTATTATTTTTTTTTTAATTTTTTTTTCTACTTCACAACGTCGCGATCTCCGCGTAATTCACGCCGGTACAACTTTGTTTTTCTTTGTTTGTCTTCTTCTTTTTTCTTTCGTCTTCTTCGCACCGTTTGCACGCTTTTCTCAGCGCCGCAATTTGACAGTAAAATTCTCGCTGTGATCTGCTTACGTGAAGAAATTACGCGGGAGATTGAGAATATCGGAGGACGACGTTGGAAGACGACGATGACGACAGCGATGATGAGGAGGACATGGATGATGACGACGACGACGACGATGATGACGACGACGACGACGACGACGACGACGACGGCGACGACGACGACGACGACGACGGTGTCTCGTGGCGGTGGTCGATAGCGCGGCGCTCTACTGACGTCGCGACGCCTCGTCGTGTCGTGGCCCGCGGCTCTCGCTCGCCCGCCCCCCCGTGGCGCCCCACGACGCCCTCACTCACTCCGGAACAACCCGGAAACTGACGAACCGTCGCCCTCCGCCCCGCAAACTACCCTTATTTCGTGCCCCCACTTGCAACACTGCCACCACCACCACCGTCGCCAACGCCGCCGTCGTGGTCGTCGTCGACGTCGTCGACGTGGTCGTCGTCGTCGTCGTGGTCGTGGTCGTCGTCGTCGTCGACGCCGCCGCTACCCGAAGGACGATCCCGACTTCTCTCCACGCGAGGAAGGCACATCCACACCGATATCCACCTTCTCCTTCCGCACGCGGTCTCGCGTTTCTTTCTCTCGTGCTTTCCTTTCGATGTTTCGGAATGACTTCGATTCGATCGCGCCCGACGTTGAAGGGTGAGACAAACTTCCGGCAACAGCATTTCCCCAGTCGGCGACTTTGTTACAATCTTGCATCATGCGCGCGCGATAACAAAGTTTTCAGCGAGAAGACGCCGCGCCTCCGCGCGACTTTGTTCTCTCAATCGCTAATGCAGTCGATTGTCGCGCCATTTGATTCGCAAAAACTCGCAGCGAAAACAAGCAGCGATTTTCATGCAAATGAATTGTTGTCGCTGGTTTATCTAATGGGAAGCCAATAAAAGTTAACGATCGCGTTACGACGACGAATGAATTATACATAAGAATACGTAAATATACACGACGTAACAAGAATGTTTAGAAACCGAGCTTTTTTTTGGTTTTTGTTTTTTTGCGATCCGTATGTTTTTTTTTCAGGAAAACAGCATTTCCATTCAAAGAGAGAGCATTCGATTTCAAAAAAGAGAAACGTCAGCGCAATTTACGCGCGCTCTGTCGTAAATTATTGATAAATCCTACGCACACACATGCGGTCTCGCCGCTACCACGTTCGCGCGAACTAAAATTTGCGGAACAATATAACAAGGGGATTGTTTTTATTATTTTTTCACTTCGCGCGCGAGAGAGCCGTATCGCTCGATAAAAAGTCGATAAAGCGCAAAGTTTGACTTTGGAAACATCGCCTCGTTGCGTGCGCGTTGCGTGTGTTTGAAAAATATACGACGGGGGAAAACGTAGGCAAAACGAAGAAGGAAAAGTTAGGAGGAGAGGAGAGGAGGCACGGAAGGGGAGAAAGAGAGGGAAAATCCCGCGGGCAGAGTCAGCCCGACCACGTGGGTTTGGATGCCGTCGTCTCTCCGTTTCTCCCCCCGCGTGGCCACGTGCCAAATAACTCACTTGGCACGCGTAAACAATTACTCCGAAAACTCATATTATCGCGTTACATTACGCGTACATATCTCACGCGTGCGTCTCCACGGGGGGAAAGCGTGTGTATATATATATATATGTACGTTTAAGTGCTGTCTTGTAGCTTTACAACTTGCGCGATCGTCCAACACCTCGCGGCGTTTTCTCGCGTCCCGTAGCGGAAAACGTCGCTTTGTCGCAGCTCGGTGGAATAGAACGGGAGTCATCGTCGTAGCTGAGCTAATTTTAAAGAACAAAAACAAAAATAAAAAAAAAAAACAAAACAAAACACGTTAAAGGTGTTCTCGCGCGACAAATCCAACATCCTCGGAGCGAAGTTTTTTTCCTTTCTCTTTGCGAAAGAGAGAGAAGTCCCGCTTTCCCTCCGGAAGACATTAACTCGCTGCACAAATGTAATATGTAATGTAAACGCAAATTTGCACAAACGCGGCGCTAAAACAGAAGCGCATTTATTTTTCATCAATGAAGCAAAATATTTTATGTTGAAAGAGTTGGTAAGAGAAAAAAACAACCACATAAATTAGAATTAATTAATTAAGAATTGTGCGCAGAAGCTCGGATTGAAATCAATTTGCGAAGCAGCTCGCAATTATATATATATATATAAATTTCTTCATCTCCGTCTCCGGTTAATATCCTTTCTATGCCTGCGGCTCGCCGGCGGCGACCGCCTACATCCGCCTAGATCGATTTGGGCAATCGCCAAAGCTCGATTGCCGATATCGCGGGTCAAGAGCCCACGGCGAGATCGCAAGATGGTACAATGAAACGTTTGAGGTGCGCTCAAATAGGTTTAACACAGAAATTGGCCCGAGCCTTTTATCTCGGGGACACACAGAAAATTCGCCCGGAAAATACGGGCGGTGTGTGTGTGCGTGTATGTGTGTGTACGTTTGTCTTCAGACAAACGTACGGGTCACTGTGCCACAAAGTTCGCGCGAGAGTTAGCAGTCGAGAAAGAATCGTGAACCGTGTGTTACGTTCACCCGCACCCATATACACGCGCCGGAAAGTTATTTACGATGGCACCTGTGCGCAAATATTGCGTTTGATTTACGTTCCTTCAAAAACCCGAACCGCAGTGTTTGCAGAAACAACAACACGTACAGAGCCCGGAGCGGACATAACTTATTTCTTTCTGTCGTTTCCGGTACCACGTTCAAGGGAACTACTTCCAAATTAACAGCTTTACGTAATCGCGATGTAACTTGCACTTTGACACACGCGCGCCGAGGTGTAACCAAAGTCTCTCAACATTACTCGAATCGTCTCATCTGAGATCTGGCAAATTCAAATTTGTATATAATATCGCGAGAAAGCTTCGATGTCGTTGTCATCGAGTCGCAACGGTTGCAACATATATCGATTGCACAAACGGTCGTCGACCACTTGAACGCTTGAATGAGTTATGCAAATCGACGAGTTGCGCGGGATGATTTAGTTTTCGATAAAACCGGATCGAGAACTGGACCACACGCGACGCGCGCGTTCTCGCGCCTCCGTTCTCGAAATTGCACATTACGTGTCCGTTGAGTTTATTCCTCGAAGTGAATATCTGTGTACAATCGCCGCGGGTGATTTACGGGTTGATTGATACGTTCGAGCGTTGATTAAGTCCCGAGAAAAATCTTAAAAACCTTGCACACGTTGTACGCCTTACGTGACGTCGAGTATTAAAATCACCGCGCCTCGCGTTCGCGGTGATTGAGGACAGAAAAATTCATAACGACGATGTAAAAGAGAGACGCGTATTTTAACGGACAAATTTGTCACACAAATGACGTTGCAAGTAAACATAATGCAGTTTGCACAACAGATAAACTCTTCAAATAAAAACTATTTTCGTCGACGGAAAAGAAGAAAAGAAAAAAAAAACGATCTGTCCACAGTGTTATTAAAATTTTATATGGAAATGTCGGTATCCTTTGATGACAGTTTTTTATTTTCTCGAAGAAAGGAAAGAGGATTAAAAGATTTTCTCGTGAGGAAATACGTGATGATGAAAAGACCGGTTGGACTTTTACAAAATGTTTTTTCAAAGGATTTTGCGTGCGATTTTGTCCACGGGCGAATTATTTGCTTCACAGTCTGTCGGGGAAATAATAAATCAGCTTTTCTTCGAGAAAAATAAATACATCCTTTGGTTTATTACGAACAAAATGACTATTATTTTGATTGTTTTTGAAAAATGATCTTTCAAAGAGCTAAGTTATATCCTCGCACAATAAAATTGCGATATATTTCGACGTCTCTTTCAATATTTATGTTTATAGATATATTGAAAACCAATATATCTCGTCCTGAACGTTACATTCACATCTCTCTGAGCGGTTCTTTATTAAATTGCGTCCTGCGTAAATAATATGCGTGATATATATATATATATATATATATCTGACAGACAGAAAAAAAGAGAGAGAGAAAAAGAGAGAGAGGGAGAGAGAGAGCTCGAAACTCTCGAGACGCTGAAGTTTTTCTTATTTTCAGCCAACCCGTATACACAACTATTGTGATCAGCGTTCTATTTTTGGCCGCCGAATTCTAATTTTGCGAGGGCGCCAGTTCGGAGCAAAAAAAAAAAAAAAAAAAGCCACCGGAGGAAAGCGTGGGCGGACGCGGTTCGCATTCGTTTCCCTCGTCCGTGTCCCTCTCTCGTATCTTTCTTCCTTGAAGATTAGGTCGTGCGTATGAATAACGACGCGAAGAAGACGATGACGGAATCTCTCCGCATTTTCTCATTCCCGTTTCCCGGAATTTTTACACAACGATGCCGATTTGTTGACACGGTGCTTTAAAAAAAAAAAAAAAAAACAAAGAAAAAAAAAACGTCCGGATCTCGTGTGGCGCCATCGCCTCGGTTTGTTCAGCTCGGAAATTTCTGCGATCATCCCGTGCTTCTATATTTTTTCGAGACACGTGTGATCGCTCCCCCAAATGCCCGAATTATTCGCACTTGCAATTGTCCGTTCCGCACACAAATGTCTATTAATTTGCGCAATTGAACGCGGACAGAGAAGCGTTCACACAGAAAAATGCATACTGTATCAAGTATATAATAAGTTTATATATCCGCAAATATATTATAAGATTTTCGTAAGTATTTAATTTAC